CTCCCCCTTCCCCTTCCCTCCCCTCCGCGGCTTGATTGGGTTCATGGCAGGGCCGCCGAATGGAAGGGAGGAGAGGAGAGCGCAGGGGAGGGGGGGGAGTGACAGGCGGCATGGCATTCCTGGAGGCAGCCGGCCATGCGGCCTCAAAAGGTGTCGGAGCGTGGCCCGCCGGGGAAGGGGAGGGGTGGGGGGAACAGGGCATAACGAACTCGATGGTCAGCGACAGCAGCGGGCCGCGCCGGCCAAAATGTAGTGTTCTGTCACATATGAGAAATGTGTGTGTCCGTTTGTCCCGCAGGTGGTGAGCTCCATCGACGCCATGGCCAAGTACTCGCTGGAGGCCGAGAAGTACCGGTCGCAGTACCTGCCGTCGCCGTCGCTCGCCATGTACTCGGCCCAGACGTCCGACTCGTCCAAGTACATGGACGCGAGCCCGCAGCGGCCCTCCCCGTCGTCCTACCTCGACTCGACCTCGGCCTTCACCAAGGCCTACCTCGAGTCCTCCAAGATGTACATGGAGGCGGCGGCCAGCAAGGCGTACGCGGGCGAGCACGGCGGGCTGCTGCGCCAGGCCCACGGCCACGGCCACTACCCCATCGACATCCAGAGGGTGAGTAGAGTAGAGGCGCGCGCCGCCCGGCCGACCCTGGCCGCGCCCGCAGCACGCGTCAGTCGAATGGGTTGCCTATCCCAGACTTCACAGGCGCTCGGCCAAGGAGTAGTTAGAAGTGTATGTGGAGGCTGCGAGAAGTAAAGTCAGCACATTGTGTGTGAAACTCTTCCATAATACGCTCTAGTACCTCACTCCGTAAGAACGACGCATTCTCTGAACGGCCTGATCATGACCGCTGTTCTTCCGCGTTGCAGAACTTCTGGACCACCGGTCACCCTGCGTGGACGACGGAGGCCGCCGGCGACCGCTCCTCGCCGCAGACGTACCCGGACGCGGCCGGCGCGCTGTCGGCGGGGGGCTCCACCCCGCGCAGCCCCAGCCAGTCGCCGGACGTGGTAGGCCGCGGCCTCGCGGGCCTCCAGGGCGGCGCTGGCGGCGCGGCGTCCTCCGGGGACCGCGGCGGTCTCGACCACAGCGGTGGCGGGTCGTCGTCGGCGTCCTCGACCTCGTCGGCGGCGCCCTCGCCCGCCGGCTCCGCGGGCGGCTCTGCCAGCGGTGGCGGTGGCACCCCGGCGGCGGCGCCCGGGGGCGTGGGCGGCGGCGTGGGTGGGAGCGCCCAGGGCCCTTACTACGCGCAGGGCCTGGCTCCCGGGCTGGCGCCAGGGCTGCCGCAGGGCCTGTACCCGCCCTACCACCAGCCCTCCACGCCCGGCGCGGAGTTCCGCCGCCCACTCACGGTCATATTCTGACCCGACGAGCCGTGAGCCTCGCTGGAGTCCGGCAGCACCGACTGCTCCTGCGAGTGAGCTGATCCAAATCCTGGACACATACTTCTTAGGGCAGGTGGGTGTGGGTGGTCTTTGGCCAGCAATGTGAAAATGCTTTCAGTGAGCTGTGGTGTCGCTGGAAAGGTCGTAGATATTTTTCCCTCCATCAACTGATAAAGTTATTTATGTTCTGTACTGTATTATGCTGGCTGTTAAAGCAAACAACAAACGATCTCAAATTGTCTAGTAATTTTAGTAAGGACTATGTTCTGTTTACAGCGTCACATTGTTCATAGGTTATCCGATCCCATCGTTAAATATTCTTTCAGTCTGTCCTGATTACTTATCAAAAAATCTTTATTTGTAACAAAATCCTCTTATTTTGTTTTGAAATGAAGATTTGAAGTATTTCTTTATTGACAACCATAAGGTTAATCAATTTTTCCGTCTCTCAGGGCGTCAAAATTGCCCCGTAATAAGTAAATGTATGTAATAATTTTGTAATATATGTGCAGTAGTGATAATTTTCTAGTTTATCTCCTTCAGAACCTTTTGTACTATGTACAAATCATTTATATGTCTGTGATTTTTTACTTTTATCTTCCACTCCTTGGTAATCTTCCTTTTGTTTTATTCGAGATGTTTATTCTGTATATAATCTATAATTTTAGGTAAATGCAATACCAAATCCTTATCTCGAAACACATTAAACACAGAAAAAAGGAGGAAGCTTCTGACCTAATTGAATGCGTATTTTAGAAGCAACATAATATCCTCTGAACGTATGTAACAGCTTAGCAACTATATCTGCTAATTCAATCACTAGACCACCACAATTCTCATCTCATTGATGATGATTTCTTAAGTGCATTGTGCAAAATACAGACCTTAGAAAATGTAATGAAATACAAAAATCATCTTTAAAAGAAATGTCTACTCTTTCATTATAATTCTTAAGATGCAACCTGGGCGCGATTTTCTATATTGGATCATTCGACTAGGGTGAAGTTACCACGGCAGAAGGAGACACAGTAGTAGGGGAGTTGAGAATATATATTGGCTAGCCGCGCTACGCAATTCACTGACTGTGAATCCTGTTTAGCGTTTTATGCGAGTCTTTTAACGGCGCACGCTCTGCATAAAAATGTAGTTCGAGGCGATGGTGGGCGGACCGCGGGACTGGCGACGGCGCCAGGGCCAGGACACTGCTCTCCGCGACCTCCCGACCATCCTACCCTGTAAAACCCTTTGGCAACAAAAAGAAAGGAGAATAAAACCCTTCGGCAACAAAAAAAAAAAAAAATAGGAGAAAAATGAGTTTTAACAGATGATTTATGATTATGGCGGCTCGTTTGTTGGCGACAATTTATTCGCACGTGTCTCATGCAGAACTGCATCTGCTGTCACAAATGTACACAATTTCGTAATCAATATAATTACAGATTACCAGAGCACTTTATTGCGCAGTATTCTACAACGCAATCGTACGAATCCTTGAGGTATAATATAGAACACCTATGCAATTGTAAACCTTATCATCCCTCGTACTGTTATGCTACAGTCAACCCTTCGGAAAACGTCTCATAAATTTATTTTGACTTTCTTGTACTACGACGTCGTGATAGACCGCTACATTTTCGCGAAATTACGAATTCCCTCTCATAGAGCCGGACCCCTGCACCCCCCCCCCCCTCCCCTCTCCGAGCGCAGCCGCCACGCGAGACGCCATTCATCGCTGGACTATGTAAAGTGCATTAAGGGGATGAATACGTCACTTTGTACTTAACGGCAGCGCAGCCCTGCGTGCGGCCAAACTCGGGGGGACACTGTTAAAAATAACTGTCACCTAACGACTTACTGCCTGATTGACACTCCTGTAATGTAACAGAAATGTTGTTTTCATTTGAACACTCTCGAAACTTGTGCTATTCGGCCCATAGTGTCCCACAACAAAAACTACTATGTATTACTTTGCTGTACATTTACAAAAAAAGAGAAGTTAATTTTGTTAGCAGCACATTTCGTTCCAAAACAGGACACTTGTATTATTACAATTTTTGTTTTACAGGAGCAAAACAAAGTAACTGCTTTTGGTCGGAAACTTTGTTTCCGACATTTTCATTAACGCTGCTTTTTTACAGTAAGGCCTGTAAAAATACAGTATATGCTGCTAACAAAATTAATCACATTTTCGCTGTAAATTTACAGCAATTTTTTAACAGTGGAGAACGAAGGGAAAAGAGCTACCCGCGCGGAGGCAAAAAGGCGGACTGCGGTGCATGACACCCGCCCTGAGTTAGCATATCAAAAAACCGTCCAGCATTTAAGCAGCATGTCCAAAGAGGTGAAGTGGAGCAAGGGTTAAATTACTTGCGTTAAATCGTACACTCAGCGTGCCAATACAAACTTGTGCTAACGGCGTAAATAATGGCAGAATTTTTTTCAATTTAAAAAAAAATACAAAATTGGACAATTTTCACATTTTTCCGTGACAATGTTAGACGTTGAAATTCCTAGGAGGGTCAACAGTCAGTCGGGAGGACCTCGCGGGCGCCGCCACTGGCCCCTTCCATGCCACGCCCACCCACCACCGCTGTGACAGGTGCCTGAAGTAGTCGTGTTTGTTGTACTCGACAGGTAGGGAGGGCGAGATTGAGGTTATGGAGTGAGTGGAGTATAAAAGGTTCCACCAGAAATTTATTTATTTGTCATCGATTGTAGATCAGCAAGGGTGCAGGCAGCCCTGGAACATTTTGTGGTTACTTGACATTTGGGCAAGTGGCATTGTGCATAAGTGAATTAAACATTGGGTGGTTGGCATCGGTATTCAAAAGCTCCATGGGCTTTGCTTAAGTTCTGGCTGCAAACTGTAGAGATATCTTCGCTGCCTTCTCTAATTTCAATTTCTGCGCGCTTGGTCCTTCCCCTGACGCAGACGCCCCACCCCTCGCGGACGGTCCGCCCGTTTCTCATATCTCACGAGTGAGAAGCTTATTATTATACAGGAATGTGCCGACGACAATGGCGTCCACACGACAATGCTATAACGCGTACAATTCCGAGAACAAAACGCCGCGACAAACAGAACTCGACGGCGATGACTAGACTTGAGAGAGTGAGGGACTCGCTCGCGAGGGGCCGCGGCCCCCCGCCCCCGCCACGCCCCGCCCCCGATGTTCCCTCGGCAAGAGGCGCCTGGCAGAGCACAGCAGGACCCCGCGCTGCTGAGCAGAACGTTCATAATGGTATGAGTAAGTAGTACCGAGACAGAGAACGAGTTGAGAGAGAAAAAGGGGGGAGGGGTGGAGAGAGAAAGAGAGAGCGTAGAAAAGAAAAGGATGGGCCACGCGAGAGCCGCATTCCACCAATAGATCAGATTGCCGCTACAGCGTTTCAACCAAGCTGCTGCCTTAATAACTCGCAACACTTTAAACTTTACGCTGTAACTGGCGAACTTAGCGAGTGGCTAAAACTGTGTTTCGTCTGCTAAAAAGACGATAGTTGGAATTACATGAGCGATGTGCTACCCCTCTCAATGCGTGGCTGTGAGGGAGGGGGCTCGTGGGTGCAGAAACAACAAAGACTGCAGGTGTTTGGTCTGGGAGGCGTGCTGCAGGTGGCTCACGTGAAGACCCCCGCGCCCGTGACGTCGCGACCGACAGGCCGAGAGGCGGCTTTGGTGCTGGTCGCGGCGCCGCCACCCTCCCTCCCCGGCACAGCCCCTCCGCACCGCCACCCCTCCCGCGTGGCCACATAATATCATTTTTAGCAGCCATAGAAACACTTTACCCATTCAATAATCTGAATAAACGCACCACACACGCGCGCGCGCTCGCGCAGCATATTGTGTGAAGTCCCCCCGCGGCAGACCTGCCACCCTCCGCCGCGGCAGCACCCTCGCGGCCCCCGGGGGCGGCCCGGCGGCGGCCCGGGGGCGGCGCACCCTCCAGGCGCGGCGGACTCTTGCCCGCTCCAGCCCCGCCGAGGACTGCGCCGGAGTCCGCACCCCTCCGCCGCCCCCACCCCCCACCCCCCGCCCCCGGATCTCCTTTGTGTGCCGCCCGGTTGTTGTGGGGGTGGTTGGGGGAGGGGTTGCCTGGTGACGCCGGAATTGAAGGTTGAGAGGGAAGGGTTGGAGCGGCAGCAGCAGGCGGCCGTATAAGGGGCTGAAACGGAGAAAGGAGGACACGGCAGCCGACCGACGGGGGAGAGGGGGGAGGGGTGAGGGCCGTCAACACAACAGCTGCCCCTGTGTACAGATTGTCTTATTTGCTTTCAAATCCGACTCATTTTCGCAAAGCAGGCATTACGTAAATGCGCGTTCAGCAGGTTAAACCAACCTTAACTCTCTGCACATTAAACCAGTGCCCACGCACTGGAAACCCTAGTGTGTGAATGTCGCACACTTGTATGTGTGTGAGCGCGACATTCGTACAACATGGAGACATAAGTTTGTAAATTTCGAAGGAAAATTTACCCCTTTACTCGCCTTTACTCTTTTAAGTGTACGAACGGGCACATCACACATTTGCGTTAGTACATATTATATTGTTTCCGAAAACCGAAACAACTCATTTCGCTAGTAGTGCGGGGACTTGATGGGTGGAACGTCAGGGCCAGGGGAAGGGTATGAAGGCAAGGTGCGTGAAGGGCAAACAGGAGGGTAGGTGGACCGAAAGCCGGGGGTGACCGGGACGGGGGCGGGAGCGGTGGTTGGGCCCGCCGTGCTGCCGGTGCTCGCCTGGTGCTCGCGGACTCGAGTCGTGAGTGAATGGAGAGAGTTTGTAAACTCCGCTGCCGTGTCGGGTCGAGCTCGGCCCGCGAAAGGGGTTGTTTAGGGGTGATGTTAGCAAAGAAACTGGACAAGAATGGGCAGAGGCCTAACAAAGCCTGCCTTATACGTGCGCAAGGCACCAGCCTCCTTCCCCAAAACTCCAATCTGCAAAAAGGAACAACATACTGGTGCACATACCACAGGGCCTAGGCCCTTTGCTTCTCACACACTCTCACTGTATGTAACAGGCAATTCTGAAACATATGGAAAAACGCTAAAAGCCGGAAAGGGGTGTAATGCTACATTGTAATGCTACTAGGGCAACAAAACTAGCCATGAAAACGCCCAAAGATAAACATGTTTAGCAGTACAGCAAATCGATCGGCTGTAAATGAAAATTCGACGCGTCCTAAGAACAAAGTCCGATCTGTTTGCGCGCCCGTCAACAAAGTCTGATCTTTTTGCGCGCCCGTCAACAAAATCCGATCTTTTCGCGCGCCCGTCAACAAAGTCCGATCTGTTTTTGGTTGCGTTTGGGAGGCGGACGTTTGGAGCTTTGTGACAATTCTGTTTATGTATCTTTGCTTAACATTTTCGGTCTCAGCTATTCTTCAATCTCTTAGGATCACATAGCAGTCATTACTTTTTCTATACTGTCAATATAAGTGAAGATAGAAAATAAAGTAAACCAGCGATGCAGAGCGCGGCCAAAAACAGATCGGACTTTGTTGAGCGTCACACAAACAGATCGAACTTTGTTGACGGGCGCGCGAAAAGATCGGACTTTGTTGACGGGCGCGCAAACAGATCAGACTTTGTTCTTAGGACGCGTCGAAATGTAGGATAAATAATTATTTAGCTCTGTAGCTAAACATTTAGCTAAGTCACACCAAATTTAGCTATCTGTCTAAAACATGGCTGTCTCCCAAAAATGTCGCTATCTAGCTAAAATTTTGGCTAAATAGCTGAACATAGCTAAATTTTCAAAACAATTCTAGATCCCTTATAGTTTTTGGTTTACACTGCTAATCATTTTTATGCTTGTTCGAAAAACCGCGCCTCAAAAACCAACCCCCCGTGATCCATACGAAGTGAAGGGAGCCAAACCATTAGCGCCACCAGGGGACCACGACGACGAACGACGCGAACGTCCCTCAACAAACAACAACAACGTCAGCAACAACGCGGCCACCGCAACCGCCGCGCGCGGGCCCCGGCATAAGGACGATTAACGACCCGTAAAATTTAATCTCGACTAACCATGCGGAAATTACGTTGCATCATTCTGCTCGACCGAGACAAAGTGACAAACCACTCGGCGCAAGGATACATGTAAACGGGGCGCGCGTAATGACTAATAAAAAGCGATGCAGCGTGAAGCGGAGGCGCACGCTCGCTCACACACATGCTCTCTCTCTCTCTCTCTCTCTCTCTCTCTCTCTCTCTCTCTCTCTCTCTCTCTCTCTGTCTGTCCCTCTCGCGACAATCCCTTCCCTATGCAAACACGAGTCATCACGCTGGTGTGCTGCTCTTCAGTTTTCAGGACCCCGCCTACCCCATACACCGCGGCGGCCGCGCCGCGCGAGGAGACGCGCGCAGAGCAAACAAACGCGCGACAAACGCGACGCTGCTCACCCCGCCAAAAAGCCGTGCGAATGTGTGTGTGTGTGTGTGGTTTCGGGTTGTATTATGCGCGCGTTTGTGCGAATTGTAAATTTGTTTGAATATTGTAATTCGAAAAACACAAAGCTGTCGTATTGAATATTGTAATTTGACCACTACAAAACTGTCGATTCGATTTTTAACCTTGCCACAACTTTACATGGTCATAACATTCTGAAATTGTGAGCAGTTTACTGGACTAGTCCATTAGAAAATGACCTTTTTCGTAAATTGCTGACTATAGACAACTGACGTTGTCTGACTACAGACATCTCGTAAATTTGCCAGAATGTTCCATAAAATTACTTGTAAATTTACATAATCTTGTGTACGAGAAATTTTGTTATCTTCGTCTTAAAATTTATTGTAAATTTACAGTTTGAAATTTTTATTTTTATACAAGTCTATGTTATAATCTAAAATATTATAATTTGTCGTAAATTGACTAATTGTTTTCTTTTGACAGTGTCGGTAAAATTCACCAATTATTGTTGATGCCAAAAACAATGTAACTAACCAAAATTACAGTTGTTTTTCGTATGATCAACGATTTAAGAGGACGCACATGAGAACATGGTGTCCGCAAATCCGAAGGTTTCTCTTTTCAATGCGATTGAAAGAAGTCTCCGTAGCTCACACGTTTCTGATTTCGGGACTGCCCGCGACTACCACCGTCGCGTTCGCGTTCCGGGATGGTGGGTTGTGCCTTTTGTCTGCGGAGCAGGCCGAGTAAAAGTTATAGAGTGGCATCGAGAGCGGCGGGGCGGGACCGCCGTGCGGGGCCCATGCCCCCCCTGGCAGACGGGGAGCCCCGGGACCACGGGCACAATAACACTCATGGAGTCACGGTGGCACTCAATGGCCTAGTTTTAATCTCCCCTCAAATGAATCAATTAGAGAGGCGAAACACAAAGCCGAAAAGAGTTACTCGGAGAGAGAGAGAGAGAGAGAGAGAGAGAGAGAGAGAGAGAGAGAGAGAGAGGGAGAGAGGGAGAGGGGGAGGGAGGGAGGAAGGGAGGGAGAGGGGGGGGGGGGGGGGGGGGGGGGGGGGGGGGGGGGGGGAGGAATGTGGCCCGTCACTGTGGGGCGCTGTAGGGTGTGGAGGTGCCAACTGGGGGCGTGGGGGCAGTGAGCGGCGGCGGGCCCGCGAGGGGGCTCTTTGTGGTCCGGGGCCGCTACAATGGGGTAACGAGTGTGCGCGGTCCGCATCAGGGCGTGCATTGAGACAGACCGGGACCCTCTACGGCCATGCCGGGCTGGAAATTAGTAACAAAAGTAAGGGTGGCGGGCGAGCTATAAACAAAAACCTCGAACCTCGAACGTTTTTCTTTAATTTTCTTCAAAACAAAAAATCTGTTTTTATCAGCGGTGATACGATACGATGCGCAGTATTAGCTGCTAGTACGGTAGTAAAGTGAAATGTTTCGCCAGTTCAAGCGTAAAGTTATGCAGTTTTTCATTCTTTTTCTTTCCTTTTGAATCTTTTTGGTGTGGGCATTTTTGGCTGAAATCAACAAAAGAGCTGGTCTACAGAAAATTTCAAATGTTGTAATAGTGTTCTAACTGGAACTATATGTACAAGAATTGACAAGACTATATTACTTTCCCGCGAGAAAGGCCAGTCAGGAAAAAGGGGGGGGGGAGGAGCAGGAGGGCGGATAGGATAAAAGGACGATGTTAGCAACAAAAGCTGTTGCTGCCGCCGGATCGGCGAGAGACAATGGGGACCGGGGCCCCGGACACACGCTCTCGGACACCCTCCGGAGAGGGGATTCGCTTAACCCTTCCCCTCCCTCACACACACGCACACACAGCCCCCCCCCCCCCCTTTTTCTATACTGTCAATATAAGTGAAGATAGAAAATAAAGTAAACCAGCGATGCAGAGCGCGGCCAAAAACAGATCGGACTTTGTTGACGGGCGCGCAAACAGATCAGACTTTGTTCTTAGGACGCGTCGAAATGTAGGATAAATAATTATTTAGCTCTGTAGCTA